GGGGGGAGAGGGAAGGAACTCTCATTATCATATTTTTACCTGGTCAAGATTTGGAGTGAAAATCTGTGATCCATGGTAACCGATGTCGTTGAAGCCGTAGTCGTCTGCTAATACAACCACGATGTTTGGCTGTTTGTTTCTTATGTCCCTTCCACTAACAGCTGTTAGCCAGACAGCAAACAAAAGTCGAAGAGATAACGTCATCATTTCACGTGAAGAGTCAGCCGTTGTCCAAACAAAACCTGGAAAAAAGACACGGCCGTTACGTCATTCAAACACAAATTTCAAACCTGTTGCTTAATTAATTAATTAATTAATTTATTTATTTGTTTATTTATTTATTCATCTATTCATTTAATTATTATGTTTTTTATCTCTGATTTTTTTCTCACATGTCAATGTAGTTTCTGGGCTTTTTATGTTTTATATTGGGAGTGAAAGTACAGTAACAGAAAGTTCGAGTAAACTGAATAGAATAAGTGTTAAAGATATAGTAAGCACAAGAGACAATAATTCGATGAGCCGAATTCTGTATATAACCAATGAAATCTGAAAAAAGCCAAACATTTGCAAATTGTCGTACTTCTTTCTCTAGAAAGGGCATACATTATAATAATAGATAGCATTTGTATAGCGCAAATCTCCGCTCAACAGCAAGCTCTATGCGCTTCACAATCGATACTAATACCCCAGCAGACCTGAGAGCATTCTGAAACAAACTCAACTTCCTGGGAAGCATACAATGCAGTCAGCCATTTATAGGCGCTAAAACACTAACATACTATATGATAGTATACTATGGCCACAGATCAGTGACATCGGAAAGGGAAAATGATATCTTTAGCGATCACTACACTCCTCAAAAGCGCAGTATCTCCTTATGGAGTCAGTCTATAATGCTGGAAAAACAATATGATTGGTTTTCCCAAGTCACCACACACATGCTATTCGTCACTTGGAAACCGATAAAAGTGTTAACTTGGTCAAGTTGTAGATAGGAAAGAACAACATACCGACGTAGGATTCCACCTTCTTTTCCTTTCTCCCGATTAAACCTACAGCATACGGCTAAGGAGAAAACAGTTCTGAACAACAACGCGACCAAAGTAGACTTAGGTGGAACGGCTCATTAAAAAACAAAAACAATGACAAATAATTATGCGCCCACCAATCTAAACTTACCGCTGTCATTAAAGCAGCTGCGATCTCAGGGAACAGCTTATATATCCCTCCACCCCCCCCCCCTCCCCTAAACTGCTGTCCGAGACTCAGAGAAGGGGCGAGCACTGACTTCAGTGACTAGCCAAGCCCAGAGCACTATCGGTTCGCATGTGGACGCTAAAAGTGAAACTAAAAAGAAAAAAAGTCCGGCGCACAGCGGGGAAACCTCTGGGGCTTTACGTCGATTGTCGTTCGCCTGTTGACGTCTGCTCGTGACTCGCGGCGCCTTTTGTGCAGGTGCCTGGCCCGACAACCGCCCCTGAAATTAATGGCCTAATTGATGAAAACAATTATATAAGATTTAGATCTCTCTGTTTGGATGTTTTTAGCTGTCTGTCTGTTCTTATTTTTATTGTGCGTTTTCCCTTGATAATTTTAGTTTTAGATCGGGAGTTGTTGCAATTTGTACATTGTATTACATGTAGATCTAGTATGCAGTTGTTAACGACAGCACAGTATGATTATATGCACGCTTCATCTCGAACAGGATTAGGATAAAACTGTAGCCTATAATAATAATATAATATTGTTATAAACATCAGGCTTTAAGATCTATTTAAGTCTATCTTAAACTTGATAGCTTCAAAAGGCATCTTAAGCATTTTCTGTTCATACAGGCCTATCCTTCGTAAGCTTTTTAAAAATTTTATTATAGTTGTTCTGTGCCTAGATCTATGTCTGAATGAAAATAGCTCGTATATATATATATATGTGTGTGTGTGTGTGTGTGTGTGTGTGTGTGTGTGTGTGTGTGTGTGTGTACATTATGCATGAGAAGAAAGGAAGTAGTAAGAAAGGTTTTGAATATATGGCTATTCCAATGTAAAGCGCATTGAGCTACTTTTTTAAATGCACTATATAAATGTTATATTATTATGATTACTATTATTAATAGATCTAATAATTATTATTATTAAACCAAGTTCCATGGGTTTTGTGGTGAATTCAGGGCACAACGTTTCTGAAGTCATGCTGTACGCAAAAAGCTACTACTAAAACTACTTAAAGTACACGGACACTGAAAACCAACGGCTTTTGTCTAGTTTTGTCTTCGAAGGGGAATTTTTTTTTGGGGGGGGGATCGTTTTCAACGTTTAACCCCTTCATGTACTGTGTACCTTCCCCGAGACTGTCTTGGACTGGTTGGATTGTTGAGAAGGTTTAGTAATGAAAGGGGTTACTCTACTTTGTTTTATTAGAGGTTTTACAGCGCTCGCAACTGCATAAGGTCATATGAGCGCTGAGGGGGAGATGTCACCTCTCTAGTTTCAACAGCACAGTCTGCCTCGACTATCAAAGCACCCCGGAAAAAACGGGTCACAGAGTGTGACTAACAAGTAAAATACAAAAGAAGTAGAGGAAATGACGAAAGTAAGGATTATGAAAGAAAAAGCAGCAGTTCTCTGTTGCAGTTCAGGCACAGTTAGTTATGAGCATGACATTAATGAATCAGCTCATGAGTCACAATTACAATAAGCTATTGTCCATAACAACATGGCTAATGCC